GTAGGAACGCTAAGATCATTACAATAGCACATATTTGCTTTCAAAAGGTCTCTTATGAATTTGTTATTCACAGTGATTTTTAGTCAAAGCGATGTTTATATCAAAGGAAACAGTAGATAATGGGAATTAAAGTTTATAAATGTAAATAACATACATTTCTTCTTGCGTAAGTTTAAAACTTTAAACTTCCGTCAAGAGCGTAACCACGGCTTGAAAGTAATCAAAGTATAAACATTATATTAACGCTACAAATGCCATACCCGTTAGTAAACCAGTAACAAATAATTCGAAACATGTGTTCCATCCTTACATTCAACAAATAAAAGACAGTTGATTGTTTTCCCGGTCCACAAATAGCACATTAAATTTACTACCTAGCTGTGCAGTGGGAATTTAAATTCATTTATCGAAGGAAAGCAAAGCAGATGCTGAATAATTAGTGACCATGACTGACACTTCCGGAAGCATCACAATTTGCATTCACAACACGCCAAACAAAATACAAATTATTAATTAAAACAAATCTGCACCGACCCCGGCCCACGCAGAAATAAATTGAATTATCCCAGAGGCAAAATGCACAACAGGGGAAAAAAACCATATAATTGAATCACTCAACGATCGAAAGCGCTTCAAATTAGCCAGGGGAAAATAAACAACTCACATATTATATGCAAGCAAAACAGCAAGGAACCCGGAGACTTCAAATCGAAGCTCAAGAATTTTTCGCAAATCGCACAACCTGAATTCCGTTGGTGGCTTCTGCGGGAATCGTTTCGCTTTCATTCGGCTTGGTTCAGTCCGGTTTAGGTTCAGTTTTCAGTGTTCATTTTGCAGTTTTCAATTCAATTAAGCGTCGGCGGGCGGAGTTCAGCACACATTGGCGTCTGGGACCTTTTTCTGTTCTGTTCTTTTTTTTTTTTTTGTCTGCTCTGCGCGTAATTCACTTTATTCAAATATGTATAATAAAATAAACGCCTGAATGCAAAGCACAATGGGCGAAATAAAGCAAGCTATGCGGCCCATTGTCAATTCAAGCTGTCCGGATGCACAGGGAAAAATAATTCCAAGGAATGAAAGTCCTTTTCAAATGATAATATTAGATATCAATGTAATATCAAGTTAGCAGAACATCTCATAACTTAAAAATAAATTGAGCGACACATAATTAATGTCAAAATCTTTAAAAAGATTTAACTATAGTTTGTGGTTTTTTAAAGAGTATTAACATTTATGTAAACTTGCCACACTTAATTAAAACTAAATACAACTTAATTATATACGTATCTTTTAAGATCAGATAAGATACTTTTTTTTTGCCTGCCTTGACTGGTTTTTCTCGGGTCTCGACGCAGATTCAGATACAAAAGACTCGGGCCGGATGTTTTCAAGTAAGTCCCCAACCAACTATGGCTTTTATGCGAATTGAACTTATCTCAATGAAGAGTGACAACGCGACCAGAGCGATGAGAACGACTCTGGGGCATTACTGGTGTTTAAGTATGGAAATTGTCACGGCGGATAAATTGCCACAATGCATTCTGAACAGCTTGTGTTCAGCTTGTTATCAGCCCACTAAAGTGACCACCCACTGGAATAGTCAGCGGATAAGTATAATTCAAAATAGACCCACAAGGGACCTGAAGTCAGCTTGCACTAAGTCAATTGTGAATAACAACGGATAAGAGAACAATGCACCATTGAATACACATTTATATATAAGAGTTCAGATACAGTTTTTTAAGACACTTCACAGGTTATCTCTCTCAATTCTAAAAAAAAAACAATAAACTCACATGATTAAGATAAAAATTGGTAAACAAATATAAAAAAAAGAAATCTATATTTAATTAATAAATCTATATTTCATTCTAATTGACCAAAATAATCCTTATCTGCGTTTTTGGCATGTATCCATATCTTGTCCATTTATAATTGAGTTACATACCCACCCATTGATTAGCTTACATTAACAACACTTCCTACCAGGCAAAAAAAAAACAACTGATAACCAGATTGGGTTATTGATTTACAGCTTATCCGACTACACGGATAACGTTTACAACACGGCAACACGATGTCAGGCGAAATCAAGGGGGAAGTTGTAGAAATATTTACCCCGCGGCCAGTTATTTAACTTATATTCAATAACCACCAGATATCGGGGGCCCAGCGCTACGGACATCTGTTAAATATTTTATTTTCGCCGGTGCAGTTGTTGTCAAGAAACGAGATCGGGCTCAATGAAATTACTTGCACAAATTAATGCCGCACAATTACCGAACGAGCGAACGACAAAGTCATATCCAAAGTCGGGCACAAATTTATTGTTTGGTATCTCGAGCAAATGCCCGCCATGTATCAGCTCTCTATATAGGATTTATGTACATGGAGCAATGCGCTCATATCGCGCGAATTGCCTTTCATGTGCTGCGTTTTATACTTAATTTTATTTTAGTCTCGGTTTTTTTTATGTTCGAGTGTAGAAAATTTATCTGGTGGGCGTATTTTTTGTTTCGCTCCTCTGTTCTGTTGCGGCCAGTACTTGATTTAATAAATTTGATTAGGATTTATGAGCGTGTGGGCTTTCTATTTCGCGAGCCTCTCATAAAGTGGAGCGGTCCGATGTGTGAAGTTACCCGGATATCTACATCAGGTGATCATGTCCAATATGTGATAACAAACGATTAAATTGATAAAAGCAGATATTCGTCAGATCGACCAAAATTAATCAACTTCACACAAAATATAGTAGGTTATTTTTATAAACACGGAAAAAAGAGAGATTTTTCGAATTTTTGGGAATCATTTCAGGTAACGTAAAGATTGAAGATGTACGACAAATAATACTCAAAAATCTATAAAGTAATTGGAGTTTGTATAGAATGCCGGGGTTTCTTATAACAAGTGATAAATAAACAAAAAGTTTTTATCATAAGAAAAGCAACGTTGAAATAGAAATGTTTGGGATTTCCTATTGATAGAATCTTTTATTTTAAAATAGGATTTTTATTTAATGAAATACTTTGTTATTCCAATATCAACTTTGAGCATTGCCCTCGGTAATAATACTAACCTTACTTAACACATTCCACCCGTAACCCGTAACCAGTAAAGGGGACAATTTTGACGTTGTTTGTCGACACAAACGCAAGCAGAAACAATTAATTTTCTGGTAATTTAGCATAAACCAGGTCCCATGACAAACTCAGCCAGATTTACGGCCAACGTGCGGGCAGTTTGTACAACGTTCATGCGGCCACAGAAATAAACATAAGCAGAGGTAAGCCAAGCGTTTTAAGAGGGGAGAGTTGGCCGAAAAAAATATTGATTTTCTGCCCACCTAAATTGCGTTGTCAAGGGTGGAGACACTGGGTTAGTTGGTTACTCTCGATAAAGTTCAGACCCTTTGGCAGAGTTCAATGAACCAACACACTGAAAGTATTGTGGAACTTATAGACTGAAACTTGTCGGTTGCACTGGGACAATAATCGTCGTGAATCACCGAATAAATCACGTTCTCGTCACCTAGGCACGTACACATATCGTTGAATATGAGATATGGATGGGGTGCACACAAACAAATTTTTAGTTGTTGGGGGTCGGATTGGGTAGATTACATTTTTAATAATTATTTTTTTTTAGCCACCAAAACTAGTTTTATTATACTAGTTCAAAGTTGAAAAGGCAAGAATATGATCATTCTTAACTTAGTTACTTTTTTTTAAAGCCTGAAATGCTTTTTTTCCTGTGTGGATTGGATAAATGGATGGATGTGAGACTCAGTGCAAAGCGACGTTTACTTATTGAAATCGATTGATTCTGATTCCAGTCGGTCAGCTTTGGTTTTATTTTTTCTGACTGGCTGGCTTGCCGGATCTGTAAATTGCACGACGACTTTTTATGATTTTGTGAGGTAAATTTGAAAAGTCGTTTTGTATCGGTCCACTCACGTGAGCGAACGATTCGATGGAACCAGATGACAGACAGTTTACCCAAATACAATTTGTCCATTGCCAGTCAAATGTGTTCAGATAAAGACATATTAATAATATTTCTCTTTTTTTCAAATTTATTGGTTCGTTTTTGGGGAAATCTTCCCCATAGATAAGATAGCCTCGCCTAGAAATTGAAATTTCGGCAAATGTTTGCTGATCGCAGTGCTTTTTCGGCGAAATTTCGCAAGCGATTTATAGATTAGGTAATTTATATTCCCTAATGCGAGGTAATTACCGCTTAATCAAATGTTTGGACTACAAAGTTATAAATAATTACTCAATCGGCAAGTTTTATACAATTGTAGCATGTCAAACCCAAAATAATTTTTTATCTGTGTGAGTCATAGGAAGTAATAAGCAAGACATAAAACTTTTATCAAATTTGGGATTCGGAGAAACCCTGAAAAGTTCTTAGAAAAATCACAAATTTATGGTCGACAGTATTGTTGAAAATCCCCCTTTTTTACACCACATACCAAGTAAATCACCTTTAGCAGCATTTATAACAATGTACATATTTTACCACAAACAATAAATAAAGAAAATTATCCACGAAACATTATCCCTCCGCAAATTTCATAAATAACTAAACTTTATCATTTAGAACGTTAATTTAAGACCTGAACAAACACCTTTTACAATTTTTTAACTCTTTAGTTCACTATCAACCTGGAAAAACATGGTTTGCTGCCGTCATAAATTGTGCAAGGTTGAACCAAAAAAACGTCTATCTAATCAGTTACGTATGAAAGAGCACATGAAAGCGTAAAAAGACGGAATTTTAAGGCTTATAAAATTAAATGGGAATTTAGGAAAAGAAAAATTTGAATAAAATTTAATTTAATTCAATGAATCACTCATAATACTCATTTTCAGCTTGAAACTTTAGTCCCCATGATTTGCAAAAAAAATGATCGACAAATATATAAAGAAAAATAGAAGAAACCCCATGACAAATTCCTTTCGAAACAGAGATAAAAAGTGAGATATAATATTTTGTACCTGTCGAATTCTGCTGTTGTTTTGTTTTTTTGCCTTTCCTTCGTTGATAATTTTTTACTTTTTTCTGTGTTCTTGTTCCGTTCTCTCTTTTTTCTGATTTGCTGCACTTGTTCTTATTCCTCGTCTCCTCCTCCTTTCGTTGCTTTTTATGCACTCGATTTTTGTTTTGCTTGGCTCGTTCGTTTTATCGTGTTGTCACGTTTTCACTTTCACAGGTAAATTCTAAAAGAGCAGGATATATATTCTTTTTTACCCAATTTATTCCGTTGCCCGAGGGGGCGTGGCGCGGGAAGAGGCGGCGGGCGCTCTTTGGCCTTTACAGACACACACACAGAGAAAGCGCGAGGGAGTAAGGTAATTACGAGCGAATTGTTAAAAATATATTTAAATATCTTTAAATCGTTTATAACTTGTATTTAAAGTGATTTAATTTCAATCGCCCTATATACATATTTGATGTTTATATTTTGTATTTCATTTATTAGAATGGGAACCGAAAACACAAGCAGCGCGGTCGAAAAATTATCGTGCAATAACAAAGAGAGCGTTTTGCGAGTTGCTTAAATAGATTTTCGTTCACAGTGTCTTCGAACCTCTCTCACATTTTTCGCTCTCTTAGGTTTGACGAACAGTGGGCTAAAAATGACTTGAGCCAACCGACAAAAAAAATTGGCATACCAATTAAATTACAAACGGTTTTTGAAAACTATACTTATTGGTACATAACCTTTTAATTAAAGCTTATTTATATTAACTCTTCATTGACAAAAAATAACTCTTAATGTTCAATAAAATAAGTATCCAATAAGTTAAATTACAAAGTATGAATTTATTCAACAAAATAGGCCCACTGTGGGACGACTTAGGTTCGATGTCAAACCAGAGAGATTTAGGAAAGTATGAGAGTGGCATCTCGAGCCATAAAATATACAAAATAACATAAACATAAAATATATTTGTATCTGATTTTTTTTAAATATCAAACCAGCAAAGCTACGAAGTGAAAAGCTTGGAAATTTCTTTGAAACACAATATATTTTTCTGGTAACGATAAGGAGAGCGTTTAATACCGTTATAAAATGTAAGAGAATAGCAGAATGGGAGAGAGAGGCAATGCGCAAGTGTGGGAGGGGAAATGGGTGTCCCCTCTTACAATGCTGTTCAAAAAGTTGTTCTTTGGGTTAATGGTCTTCAAAATTCTAGAACTTTCGGAGTATGTTGAGTATGTATATAGCAAATAATGCAAGCAAAATGTTTTTTTTAAAGAAGATAGAATTAATTATTTATTTGTGGAGTTCTACGATTATTATTATTGGCTTATTAGCAAAGATGTTGAGAGAGGGGTAACATCTTTTTCGGGTGGATCTTACTCTCTTTTTTTTATAATCCAATTATTTACTCTCTTCTTTACTGTTCTTGTATGGGTGCGATAATGAAAAATACGAATGCTAATTTCGCCGGTTAATTTATGTTAATATCGTCTGGTAACTTCTATTAATTTGGTGAAAAAACAAACGCACTTTAACAGGAGGCAGTTCTCCCTTAGCCGACATTCAAATTTAGCAAAATAAAAAGCTAAATTGCAGAACATTTCACACGTGGTTTTTTTAATGCAACTTCACGCAACAGAAATTCCCACACACACACATGAATAGTAAGAAAATAAACGGAACACGTCTCATACCGCAGCAACAACAACTCTCTCACTCTCTTTTCTATTCTCCCATTTGGGGTCTCTCTTACTCCAATTGTGTTTGTGTAAGTGTTTATAAAAGAAGCAACAAAAATGTTGTTAATTTTAGTACTTCGCTTAGCACTTTAGTATAATGCGCAAATTGGCGACACAAATATCGATTTATTGAATGTTAACATGACTCGCTTTTAAACTTGGCAAATAGGAGTATTTATTTACTGGCAATTGGATTAGGATTTGGATGTGCCATTTGTGTGAGTGTGTGAGACGAGCCTTCTAATGCTTCCAAAAAAAAGAAGAAGAGCAAGTGGCCTAATTTTTTTGCACAGCGTCCGTTATTGAACCTTTACGACTTTAGCTTTTATTAACCTTTTTCAGTCTGAGTTGCACTTCAACTGATGATTTCGCAATATTGTTATTTACTTTTCGAGCATTTGTGCACTTTTTTTGCCGCGGACTCAAAAACAGTGTAACCGTGTCACTAATATAGTGAAAATACCATCCGTTCCAACATTAAATACCATTCAGTATTTTACGTATTTGGGATATTACCTATACAATTAAATTGCAAAATCCTTAAAAAATTCTACAACTAAATTGCTGAAAATTCCGAAAGTTGTATTTTTAGAAAACTAACAATTCCTTCATATGTAAAAACAAAAAAATCTCAGCCGAGTTTGTCTTTAAAAACACCAAAGTATATAAAATACCGTAAGCAGTCTTGTCATTTAAGCATTTTGAAACACTAGAAGCGCGATTTTTAAATCCAAATATTAAAAATGTAATGAAAACTTTTTTCCCCAAAGATACAAAGTTCCCAACTTAAACTCGGCTAAATTAAAAGCATGATCAAAAAAACATTTACCATATTAAATAAAAAGATTTGTAGTGTATGAAAATAAAATTGTCTTTGTTCGTTTGAGTTTACAACTATAGAGTCTTAATCTCTGAGTTTTTAGCATAGCATTACAGTATTTATGTGTTTATCTGTTTTTGTTTTAGGAATCTCCAATAATCTCTGAGAAAATCTCTATTATTCGCTGAATATAATGTTGCACATTTCGTTGTTCTTCTGATTTAGGGCAAAAGTGCAGCCCGTGGTTTTGTGAGAGAGCGAAGAGCAAACGTGTTTGGCATAAGGACGATCCACAGATTGCAGGAAAACCGAACGAATATTGGTTTGTCTGGGTGGAAACAAAGAAATCAATATGGGTTGGTAAGTTATAGTCCCAGAAAAACTCACTTGAGCAACTGTTCAGGTCTCTGAAGTTGCATGCAGAGTTTTATTCCACTATAAAAGTCCAGATCCGCATTCAGACTCAACTTCGGTTCGTGGGTCAGACTGAAATCCTGCACTAATTTAGCATAGGTGAAGCCAACGGCAACGTGACCCAAGACAGCGCTGCCAGTGCTAAAAAATATAGTATACAAAATGTAAAATATAATTATTTTTTTATAATTTCTAGCACCCCACTCACTTCTGCTGGATCTCCGTTTGAGCATTACGATTCCACAGGCTAAATCCGACCTTGCCATTGAGATCCACACTCCTGGCGCCCAGCACTTGCCAATGTAGAGTGGCTCCCGACGCCAGGATTATGTAGTGCTCGTTATCCTGTGCCAAAGTGGTTGCCTGGTAGGCTGGCGTCGAGTCCGAAGCACTTCCTCCCCACACATGACCCATTAGCTCTGTCTGACCGCTGAAGAAGATCAGGGGTCGCAGCTGGGCACCCTGCACACTGATTTCCATGCCCGCGGTGACGGTCTCCTCGCCGTCCATCTGATCATCCGCTGGGATTCTGTCATTCCCATCGCCGGAGTCACCATCGCCCACCAGCGAACCCAAGCCGGCAGTGTAGATGCCCAATTTGAAACTGCTGGCTTGAGAGCGTCCTGCGTGGAGCAGGAATTCCACGGAGCCGCGCTTGAGGATCCCTTGGTAGACCTCCTGGGTGCTTAAAAGCGATTCATTAAAGGCAGGCGCCAAGGAAAGTTGACGGGTAAGAACAGTGGTGAGTCCTGCAAGTTGTTGGTTTAATGTAATGTAATGTAGTTAATAAAATTAAACACATACCCTTTTGTCCCAGTACATGGTAGTTGTTCACCTGACTCCTTTTGGCCAACTCCGCCACGAATAAAGCCCTGAATCGCGGACACTTTTCAGCCAGCATTCTCAGCTTCTGCAGCACATAGGTTTTGATCTCAAATTGGCGATCGGTTGAGGCTAGGTAATCCAAAAGGTAACCCAATTGCTCCTGATTTGGCCTAAGGGACAGGATAATATCCAGAGCCAGAGTGCGTGCGGAGCTATCAAAGCGTCGCTTTCGCTGATAGAAGATACTCTCAAACTGCTGGCGATGCGAGGAATTAAAACTGCCCGGGGGAAATGCTTTCAAGGCCTGCAGAGCAGCCACCGATAAGTTGGGCTCCTCGCCACTTTGAGCCTGTTCCAGCAGGGATTCAATGGTGACGGGGTCCTGGAGATTTTGCAGTGCCCTGATATACAAAGTGGGCTCCTTGGAGGCGAGGCCTTGCAGAAGATAAGTTCGAACCTGCTGCAGCAAAGAATCATCACCACCCAATCGACTTTGGCGGGTCAAGGTGGCCAGCGTTTGGATAATGCTGTCCCTCAGTTTGAACTGCTTTTTGGTTGATTCCAGCTCTAGTAAGCCGAACAAGTGCTCAACTATTTTCCTATCTGGATGCGTGGCCACAGCTAGGGATTGCAAATACTTCTCTAACAGTTCTAAATGCTCGTTTGTAGTTTCCTCCTGATTGTAGAGGAATCCAAATGTGGCATTATGTGCCTCGAAGGTTTGAACAGCACCAAAAAGATCCACCATAAGGGGCAGCAGTTTCGAATGGTCCTTGAGCAGTTCCTCGAATTGCTCTTGCCTCGAGACGCGAGCCAGGGGGATAAGCTTGACGTAAGCTAGAGCCAGCGAGGATTTGCCCACGTCCTCCGCTTGCAGTTCATTGAGAGATGCTTTAAGTTGTTCCTCAAGCTGAAAAAAGAAACTCTTTCAATTTAAAAACTCATAATCGTATAGCTTACTTACAGTTTGCTCTTTGATCTCGCTGATCAAACCATCTACATCGGACTCCAGCTCGAATACGCGATACCATTCCAGCAGGCTTTGGATGGCCTCCTCCAAACTGTCTACTCCCAGCTGCTTGACTTCCTCCGATCCTTGTGAAATGTGCTGCAAGGTTAGAGTGCTCTTCACGGAGCTTCCCACATCGGGTTTGGCTGCTAGGCTCAGGCGGTGATTTTCCACGGTCTCTGCCTTTAAAAGAGATCCATCTGAAGAGAGTTCATAGGAGACCTGTTCCTGGGCTTGGTGAGTAACGCCCAGAGCTTCTTCTGGATGCGTGTTAACCCTGAGATCCCAAAGAGAGCAGTCTCGTTTGATTTTCTCCACTTTCGTTGAGGATTTCACATTATAGGATACTCGACACAAACCGGAAACATCCAGTTCCTCCTCCGGGGAGTCAGTCAATCTCAACTGCAGAAGCGAAGCAATTCCGCGTTCCAAATTCAGCAGGGATTGATCTTTTGAAGTATGAGCTATAACCTTTTCGGGCTGTCCCTTAACCAAACTGATATAAAAAGGTCTATCAGGTATTTGAGTAATGGAACGGGCTTTTCCAGAGGCATCAACTCGGCTCCCACTGATGAAAACCTCCAGGAGCTGATCTTCATTCTGACTCCAAACCGAATTGATCTTCAGGTCGGTTTCAAATGTATAGCTCGTCTCTTTGGCACTCGAATCCCTTCCCAGTTCCGCGAGAATCACTTTATTCTGCAGCTTAAATATTTGCTGGCTGCTTTGAGAGATTAAAGCCGTTCTTCCCTGGGCTACAAAAATGTGGGTGAAGCAGAAAGAAAAGAACACGTCATTAGTCAATCGAATTGTTATAACTTTCACCCAGAAGCAGAGCCACACGTTGATATTTTTTCATTTACTTAGCCTGGGTCGAGGTTATCAACAAGTGGCCCTACACAGTGGGCGGCGTTATCTCGGAAAGTGGAATAAAAATGTATGAGGAAGAGATAGTTGGATGGATGGATGGGGTGATAAATACCAAAGGTTGTTTCTGATGGTTTTTTTTCGGGAGTTCTGTTCTTGTCAAGAAGAAAACTCGTTTATATTCGATTTTATATAAAATATTCTAGAATACCTAGTAAAACTAATAAATAATAATTTAAGCTTGATTGAGTTTTCATATATTCAAATAAAATTGCCCCATTCTTATAAAAATATTTAAATAAATATAAATTATTTCACTTTAAAATTTTAGATTTCCTACTCCTTTTTTGTCTTGTCTTAAAATTTAACAAATAGTTTCTCCTCGAAAAAAATCTTTACAAATTACAGTTTGCGGTCTAAGATTTAAATGTATTGAAACGTTATTTCTTAAACTCTGTTCTTGGACAAAAAATTAACACCTGTAGCTGAAAATTTCGTTGACCTTCAAAACTTAAACACCTTCGTCCCCTTTCTGGCCCACTGTCCAAAATCAGCTGGTCCAATTGGAAAGTGTGTCAGATAAAAGTTCTCTTCAGCTTTTTGTTGGTGTGCGTTTGTGGGGGGAGCGGCAATGTCAATTTATTTGTTTATCACACGATTGTGTGGGTAAGCGCAACAACAAACAGTTCATTCAACTCTAGTTAACAGTTTTAACTTTCTACGTGCTTTGCATCCGCCAAAAACTATTTACCCCTTCAAGCATTTAATACAACTCACCAAAAAATCCGAACAAGATGGTCAGACAGAACAGCCAATTTGTATGTTTCTTCTCCATGTTTAAAGTTTCCTTTGCTTGACACTGTGCTTAATCTTAAGTTGGCTGAGGTACTTAAATTAATTCATTGATAACACTGTTGTTAAGCCGGCGGCCGATGGATTTAAATGCGGAATGGAACTAAAGCCGACCGGATTGAGCTAAGAATCGAGAGAAACTATATGTATGCCGGTCTTTATCTCTGATTTGTGGTGAGTATAAAAACAGCTGTAAATCAACGAATATGGTGGAAATAAACAGCTGATAATCGCTGTACTGTGGTGAGAATAACTGCTAGTTGAACCTGACAGAGGGCGCCACTGCGCATTTCGTATTGTTTCGATGTCCGTTAATTTTAAATACAAAGTTAAACAAGTGTTTGTGTTGATATTGGATATTTGTATTTAGGTAGGTATTTACGTAAGGTTCAGAGCTACGCAATATTTTAAATATTTAGGAAAAGTTAAAGGAAGATACAAAATTTTTTTTTTTAAATACTTTTTGCTACGTACCTATACGTATACGTACGCAAAATATTTTTTAAATGGCGATAGTTCAGTCAGATTGACAAACAGTTTTGCGATTTCCTTGTGAATATACTTGATCTATTTTTTTTTTAATTAAACACACCAATCACTAACATCGGCTATATACCTTTTGCAAACAAGATTTGGCTTTTTCTAACAACAAATAAAAACACAATCATCTGATTTTTCAAATTATTTATTGGCAACAATTTGTACATAATTTATTTTTATAGGTTTTGTTAAACTATATTGTCTAATTGACAAATGTAAGGATATTTATTTTCACATAAGTGGGCGCCTGTATAACCGTAACGCATGGCAATGCAGTTTTTGCCTTCAAAATCGTTTGCAGTTCCTTCGAGCGGTCTTAGATAGTTTGCCGGCTTTCCGGAGGCCACAGATACAAATTGGTTATGGATGCCCAGCCAGTATGAATTGAAAATCCCGATTTTCGCATTGATGGCGTCATATTCCTCCTGATTTTGAAAGGCCGCTAAGTGACCTCCACTCGTACGACAGGAGTCTTCGGCATCAGACCATGTTTTGATATTGTAATTTTCAATGTAAAAGTATCTTGAATTAATCCGCTCATATCCTTCCGGAACGAACAGTGTTTCCCTTGGCTCTGGCCATTGATTTATATCTGGTTTACTCTCCACATTGGGATTGTTCACTTTCTTATTATTTTCTACAATTAAGTTTTCAAGTTTCCGGTTTATTTCATTTAGAATTTTGTCCAGAGTCTTCTGACTGGTGCCAAACGTTGCTTCATTTTCTTTTTCCAATATTGCCAGAGATTGTTTCTGAATTCTTTCCAAATCTGTCAGTTTTCTTTTTCAATTCTGTCCAGCCTATTCTGGATTTCATTCAACTTTAGAGTAATGGTATTTAACTGCTTTCGAACTTCTCGGTTTTTTGAGCGGCAAGACAAAACACCCCACATTGATTGGGGGCAACGTTCAGCACACAAACTGACTTAATATAATCCTGGGATTGAGCGATTTCAAACATTATGCAGGCCACAAGGGCGTAGAAAATATTAATTTCTTGCTTTAACATTTTGGGAACAGAGAACTGCGGATCACAAGGGCTGCCAAGAAACTGAATTTGAATTTATTTTTCAACTTTTTAAGAGCCATTCAGTTACAAGATTAGAACGACTTTTTTCATTTCGTTTTGTGTTTTCCCAAAAATGTTTCAATCAATGTTTTTTTTGCAGTAATATTTTAATTATTGTTTTTTTTTTATAGTATTAATCTACGTCTAAAAATATATAGCACTCACGCTATGCTTTGATAAGCACGTCTTTTAATAATATTATTAATGATTCATTTTCTGAGAATTTAAATAATTATTAAGAAATGGACGAAAACTATTTGGAACAATGGGATTAAAAAATTGATTGTATTAAGTAAAATATGCTTGCAAAAGGTAAGGTAAATTAAGTTAAATTATAATTATATAACTACTTTATAAATGTCAAACAAATTAAAAACCCAATCGGAAATTTAAAACTATTGTTTTATTTTGGGTAAACTATTTCTAGCATATACGCATATGAAATATTTTGAATATTTTGTTTTAGGTGCTAGAGTAAGGTTAATTTCTTGTTTTTAATATAACTATTTGTCTTCCTAATTTTTAATCGACTTTCCCAAAAGAAAAATATAATATTTCAGTTTTATATAAACTTAATATATTTAATAAGCATAATTACATGTTTAAACTTCAGATTCGTTTTACATAGTGCAAATGAAGTGATCGGCATCAATGCTGGAGTAAATATGTCCCTCGGAAATCATGAAGTCCACAATATTGCTGTAGAAATGAAAATCAAGATATTATTAGAGCACATTCAAATCTAAAGAATGGTTTAAAAGACAAATGGTAAATGTGCATTCAAAAACTTTATAAAAATATTAAAAATGAAAACTTTCGCTTACGTCAACTCGGAGTCGCTGATGTGAGAGAATTTGGCTTTGAGTTCCTTGCGGGAGATGCCCTCCTCGGAAACATTGCTCTTGATGGCCTGGAAGACGGCCTGCTGCTTGGGATCCAGCCCACTGACGATGGCCGAGCTCTGGGAGGCTGTGAAATCGGATATGGAGCCGGAGCCCGACGGAGCAACTGCTGAGGATCCTCCCTTGTTCTGGTAGTCCTCTGCCCTATAGCGGGCATTGAGAGCTTCCAGGAGATGGGTGCACACCTCGTTGGGATCCAAAATGGGTAGCAATTTGAAGACCATCAGCGTTTTCTGACCTGCCTGAGATCGCGTTGTGCCATAGACCTTCACATAGTTATTGAGCATGACCTCGGGGGCCTTCAGAGCATCGCCCTCCTCCAGCCAATAATGTGCATCGATTCGGCCACTGTGATCCTCCAGGGTGTAAGTGATCTTGGTCGATGAGGTCTCGATGTTTCGCACTATGGCCACCACACAGGCCATGGCATATTGCATGCCGAACAACTCGATGTTTCCCTCCGGCGCATCCACAATCTGCTTTATTACCAATGGCACAATTCCCTGTTTTAAAATACACAATAATAGCTACAGTTATTGAATTTTTTATATTTTTTTTACTCACCTCTCCCTTTTGATTGCTGGCGGCTCCAGCGGTCGCAGTTTGTATGGCATTGAAATCTCCAACTGAAAATGATTTTAAGCCAATAAATCTTTTATTTTCGTATGGTAAGAACTTCTACTTACACGAATCATTCATTTTGATGGATTTTTAAGGCTTTCAATTATGTTTTTTGTTTTAATTTCACAATAAGCTGCCTATAAACAACAAAACGCGCCAATTTACTTTGGTTAGTGTGGCCGTAACATGAACCTGGGCAAATACCAATTTTTTGGTTTTTAGTAAAATGCCAAATACTGAAATCAGTTTGAATATATAATAAAATAAACCAAAATTTCTTGGTTTTAATTTTTAAATATATATAACTGTTTTATCTGAAGAAGAACAATACCTAGATTTAGCAACTAACTTTTTGGAAACAGAATGCGACAGTTTTTTATTCTTTGTATACGAAATTTATTCTTTGCTTGTAAAACAACTGAAAAAAATAATAGCCCTTAAGGCACTAATTCTGATGGCACTGATTCTTTGGACTTCTAGTCCCTTTCTTAAACTAATTTTCGGTTTTTTAACAATACTTGTAGCTCCTTTGTGACATTACATTCTTGTACTTTTAGTTTTTTTAAGTTTTTCTGAGCCTCAACATATAATATTCGTTGCTAACGGTCACTCTTTTTTTTTCTTTTGCTTAGCTTCAGCATTGGCTGAAGGACATATATCCTTGTTTAAGCACTCCCCACAATTTGGCTTTACTGGGGTACAAATGGTTTGCCCAAATCCCACGAACAGATGATTAACTTCCGCCCAGAGACTATGTGGCAGCCACTTCTCCAGTGCGATGCGCGTTTGTTCCGGTTCCTTTGTGGGTTTCGGTAGCCAACCCAATCTATTCGAAATGCGATGGACATGGACATCCACTCCGATTCCTGTGACCTTATTCCACGCCACTGCCATACATATATGAGCCATCTTGGGACCAACTCCGGGCAGCGCTATAAGTTCCTTGGGATTATCCGGAATATCCGAATCATATTTTTCTATGAGTATATCCACAGTCTGCTTAAGGTATTTGGCTTTGTTCTGCAATATTTTGGTAGTAGAATACAAATATAAAATGGGTTTAGATTATATGGGATCTTACCTTATAAAAGGATACGGGATGAAGTAAGTTCTCTAGTTCAGTTACTGGCATTTCCTTTATTTTGAGTGGAGTAAGATTTTGATCTTTAAGCCGATTCATGGCCTCATAGGTGGTTTGATCCTTAGTTTGGCTGGACAGCATAAGAGCTACTAAGTTTTGAAAGCGTTGTGTCTGTCAAAAAATGAATCTATATGTTTATGGGCAATTTATAATCGCTTTCTTATAATTTACCTTTGCATCTGCCTTGGAGTCTGCACAGCGATGACATCCCATTATATCAACTGGAGCAGATTTCGAGTTTCTCATGACGCGTATGCTTTCCAGGTGATAATACCATAAGGGATTCGGTGAATCTACTTCTATATATAAAGAGGGTTCCACTGTGGGATCTGGTTCTTTCTTAATATTAACTAATCCCTCCTGATTATCTTGTGTAATGAGTTCCTGCTTTATTTGTGGTTCCAATTCCTGTTTGATCTTATCAATCCTCAAAGGAGAATCCACAGAATCTGGCATTAGTTTACACTTAACAACCGTAGCCGTTCCTACTTGAGTTTTGGTTACCAACTGGTCATCCTTTTTGTTTTTTTTGGGCGGCACGCGAGTTGGAGTTAAGGCTTCCAATTTAATGTTCGTTTTTTTCGGGGTTTCCCCGTTTAAGAGACGTTGTTTACGGGCTTGAACGGGGGAGAAGTATATCGAGTTACTAGATCCTGCGCCCACAAGGTCCTCAATATCCTGAAAGATTCAGAAACTGCGTCTTGAGTTTTGCTTTTCCCCTATCTTGCTTTGCCACTCACCCGCAAATTGTCCGTCCGGCTTTGTCTGCTTATTATCTCCGTGGGCTCAATGATATCTCCTCTTTTTACCAGTTTGCTGGCCAACGTTAGTTTCTTCACATTTTTGGCCATATTTAATATAAATTTCGCCCTCCTTGTGTTCATATGTTTGTCTACTTTTTGAACCTATCGATTTCGATAGCAAAACCATGGTATTTCTGATAAACGGTCATACTTTAATATGTTGGCCGGGTAAATTTGAAATTTAAAAAAAATTAATACATTAATACCGTACATTAATAATTATTTATTTTCAAAAAGTATAGTTTTCTTAAAATAAACAAGCAGTAATTAAAACATTTTTTTTTAAATAGTACAATAATATAGTGCATTCATAATTATTTATTTCAAAAATTATACTTTTCTTAAAATAATTTAACTGTAATTTAAACATCGTTATCAATAAGTTGATAATATTATTTTGCGTTCAAAACAATAAAAAAAATAAAAATAAATGATTTTTTTATGTTTCCCTCCCAAAAATCAATTGTTTTAATGTCAAAAGTTAGTTAATTGCTTACTATCTTTATACTCACAATCTAGTTTGCGAATTTGTATTAAAGCATAAAAGACTGGGATGCTTTAATCTATATTATGACAGGGCAAGTAGCAAACAATGTCTAACTCTATTATTTATTATTCATTTTTTCAATTAAACGATTTTTTTTCGTTAGGCAGCAACCATGTATAGGTTTTACTTCGGTTTCCTGTGTAATTTGCTCTGTTGGGCCTGTAAAAAAACACTCGCATTAATAAAATATAACATAATTTTATAACAATTTTGCTCACTTGATGTGCAAGTCTGAGAAGGTGCTCAAAACTGGATCGACCTGTATCCAAGACCATTCCGTAAAAGATTTTGCTCCGCGATTGCGTTAAAAGTGTATATGGTGAACCAAATTCGACCAGATTGCCTGCATCCAAAACCATGACCTTATCGGAATCAATTATAGTGTTTAACCTATGAGCTATGGTCAGTACGGTGCAGTCTTTGAACTTTTTACGGATGGTGGACTGTATAAGGGCGTCCGTTTGCGGATCAACATTTGCCGTGGCCTCGTCCATCACCAGGATGCGATTTTCTCGGAGAATTGCCCTGGCCAAACAGACCAACTGCCGTTGACCCACACTGTAGTTGGCCCCTCCTTCCGCGATCATACTTTCAAGACCCTTGGGCAACTCAGATACCTCTTCCTTTAGATGAACCTAATAAAAACGGAATGTTATCTTATAGGTACATTAACTTTACAATATCTCACCTCTTCTAGGGCCTCCCACAACTTATCGTCTGGATACTGTTCAAAGGGATCCAAGTTATAGCGCAAGGTGCCAGAAAACAGTACGGGTTCCTGGGGAATTATAGAGATTTTACTGCGCAGATCGTGCAGGCCTATTCCGGCTATGTCCCTGCTGTCTATGACCATTGATCCATCGTTGTAGGACAGTCTGAATAGGGCATTTATTAGAGAAGATTTCCCGGCACCTGTTCTTCCGACAATGCCGATTTTTTCACGTGGCTGAATAACAAAATTAAGTGAATTTAGTACTTTATCCGTCTTGGGATCGGGGTTGTAGCGCAGACTAAGCTCTTCCGCTTTAATTTGACCCTCTTGTGGCCAATTTTTGGGTGGCTTATTATCTGCTGGGGATTCAAATTCTCCTTCAGATTCCAGGTTTTTATATTCCAGCACTCTTTCCACAGAAGTCATGGAATTCTCCAACTCAGCCGATTGTCGCATTCCCCACTGTACAGTGCCAGTCATAGACATAGCTTGTGTGATGGCCAAACCAATCTGACCGGGATTTTCTAGCGGTGGATTCAAGTAACTCATTATGGTTACCGATATAACATAGGCGACGCAAAACAGGTCCAGATAGTAACCAAAAGCGCGACTTGTCGACAGGAATGTATAGTATCCCGAACTATGAAGATCCTGGTAGTTATCATACTCTTTGGTCAGCAATTCCTGGGCACCCAAAGCTCTGATGGTGGGCAGACCATTTAAAGTGGCACTAAAATGCGAATACATTGGCGATCTGGCCACGGCCTCTAATCTTTTCACATCTCTCGAAGTACTCAGATAGAATTTTCTAAGATAATGAAAAGCTAGAAACATGGTCATTGTATTAACCAAATACCAGGGATTTGTGATGCACAAAACCCCTATAATACCAGTGATTGTCAGAAATATCTGTATGCAGTCCAGCATTACGGCGGGCAGGATTTCATCCACTTGCCCCAGATCCATTGCAAAACGATTGAGTATTCTCCCTGAGGGATTCGCGTGGAAGAAATACAAGGCAGTGCGGGAAACGCCTTGGAACATGGTGTTATGCAACTGGGTAGATGAGTGCTTCGCCATGCTGAAAAATAGTACGGTTCGAAGTAGTGCGAAGATCACTAGGGCTATATTGATTGCGCTAAAGATATATATATCCAGGAAAGACGATGAGTCGTTGTTTTTAACCCTGTAAGTAAAAGTGTTCAACATATTAAAAAAAAACCTTTAAAACAAAAATATTATTACTTACCAGTAGGACAGGAAATAGTCCCCTCCAGAAGCAAGAACCTGAGTGCCCAGGCAGAAAAAGGCAACTAGGACAATTAAGAACCATCCAGAACCGGCGGAGAAATATTTCCGATACATGTCCAAACCAATTTTTCCCGTGAAACGAATTTCTTGAACTGGTTGTCTTTCATCTTCTATTACAGATTCCGTGCCGGAATCCATTGAAGTCACACTGACTCTACTAACTCGACTGTTTTGGCGAGAGTACTTCGATTTATCCGTTTTGGTATCACCAGCTGCGTTATCCTGATCAAAATCTTCTTTTTCCTCCTGGGTCTCCTTAGCCAAAAGTTTTGCAAAATCCTGACCACTTTTCAGCATCTCCTCATATGTGCCAATGGCTGTTATTTTTCCCTTGTCCATAATAACAATCAGATCGGCATGTTCCAGAAATTGCAGTTGGTGGGTCACCAGGATAACTAGTTTATCCCTAAGAAAGCCACGCATGCAGTCCTCAAATAAATGGCGCCCAACGTGAGTATCCACTGCACTCAAAGGATCATCGAGGAGATAGGTATCCGCTTGGCGATAAACAGCTCTGGCTAAACTGATCCTGGCTCTTTGACCTCCAGACAAGGAAGCTCCTCTTTCACCCACAAGAGTGCGATCTCCCTGGAGTAGTTCAAAATCTCTTTCCAAAGCACATTTTTTAACGACAGTACGATATCGGTGCTTGTCCATGGGCAATCCAAAGATGATATTATCTCTAATGGAGGCATTAAAAAGCCAGGGTTCCTGTGAGGCATACGAGATTTTCCCTTGCACGTTTAGCTTTCCAGATTCAGCAGAAAGTTCTCCCAAAATAGCTTGTACCAGGCTGGATTTGCCGGAACCCACTGGCCCAATGACAGCCACCAATTGTGGTGGCTTCAGACTGATATTAATATTATCCAAAACAGGTTCAACGTGATCCTGATTCCAACGCGCTTGAAAGGCTTGCAATTCTACTAAGGGTTCCTCTTTAAAAAGGTTCATTTTTTCTCCACGTCCGAGTTTCTGAACTTCAGTTTCATCTCTCATTAGAAAACTTTTGATTCTCCTCAGGGTAACCAATAGTTCCGCAAATTGAGACATTCCACTGGGGAAGAATTTACTCACTGTACGTCGCAGGACATTGTAGAAAGCCGTGACGGAGAATGCTCTCTCGGCAGTCAATTCTCCGCCCATCAAGACGAATCCCAGCAGACTTACGAATATCGCAATCCTACCCAGAGTTATTTCGAAGGATAGAAGAGTACCTCGAATATAGTTCACCTTGCGAATGGAGTTCATTTCACTGCGTCGCAATTTCTCGATTAGCCTGCCAAATGGCTTTTCCCAGGTGTACATCTTTATCACTTGTATTCCAGTTATAATCTCATTCATCATCCTCACCCTCTGATCAGTTCTTAGGGCTGTCTCAAGTCTGAGCCTGGAAGTGAGTCGGCTCAAGTAGGTTTGAAAAGGCAGATATAGAAGAAGTATTCCTATGCCGTAAAGAGAAGCAATGCCAATTTGTTGGTACAGGAAGTACGAAGATATGAGCAACTCCAGCGGTCCCAGCCACAGATAGTGGAAGGTTATCAAGGCACGATCAAATCTTCCTAGATCGTTGGATATAAGATTAACCACCTGACCCGTTGTCGTATCGCCCAAAGCAGTGCGACTTAATCGGAGGGCCTTTCGATATATAGCAGTACTCACTGCCACTCGCATTTTCATGGCCAAATGCTAGGGAGAAAAAATATTATTTCAATTAAATATAGCACAACATATTCCTTAAACTCACCATCATACCCATCATAAAGGGATGGAACATCAAAACTCCAATTAACGTAATCAAAATCAGGTTTAATCCATAGATTTGAGCCTGTAGCCCATCTCCATTTCCATTTTTTGTGAATTCGGATATCAGAGCTCCCAGAATAAGTGGTAAGGTAGCTCTACAAGAAAGGTAAATATGTAGGAAAATATATTTTAAAAACAAACTTTATTTATTTGTAATAAAATAAAACCCTTTACTCACCTTGTTCCCAACTCGAGAACTCCAATAATTAAGCCTGATAACAGCAGTTGCCATCCAAATACCTTTATAAGAACCTTTATAATGCTTGGCTCCTTTTTAGGTTTATCCTGACATGACATGACTTCTGCCAGCCAAGTTTCAAAGAATTTATCGCCCAAAGTATCCGCTTTGTGTCCGCTTAAAGCCTTGTAAAGATCTTTGGGTTCCAAGGTCTTTTTTCTGCCCTTGAAAAGTATTGGCAAAGCGAAGCTGTGAAAAATAATGTATATTAATAAATATTATGATAATTGTCAGCATAGCTCTGAGTTTCCACACCCCACTGCCATTAAAGTTTATACAAACATGATAACCAGAAGTGATATACGTGATCTTTTAGCTTATGTTATCTACTGTTAGCGGTCTCAACTTTTCACAATGATTTTACATGGATTTATGGTTGGTTAATTCTAATTAGGGATTACATTTCAATAAAACATACCAAAACATTAGAGCGGAAAAAATCCCCGCAGATTCGCGCGGATTTGTTGGCAGCTTATTAGCCTG